GAACCCATGAACTGTGAGATCATGACCTGAGCTGAAGTAGGACATTTAACCGACTGAAACACCCAGGTGCCCCCCCCCAAATATATATATAATATATATATTTTTTTCTCTCTCTCTATTAGATTCTACCTAATGATGAGAGGAGTGGCTTCTTGGGGGGTGGGGAGATCTCTTGAAGAGGTCAGGTGAGGGGGCCCTGGCACAGGACATCCTGATCTCTCCTCAGGGGTCTGATGTATCCATGATGTGTTCTCAGTTAGTGATGATCTTTTACCAACAAAGGCCTTCAGAGGTAATAAAGACAAACCTCCCCTTTCGCAGTGACAGTTTATAACCAGTCATCTCCTAGCACACAACCTTAGTGTGGCAAGTTTGTGTTTCTCAAGCTGGGGGTCTCCTGGTGGACTCTAGGGAGTCCTGAGAGTACCTCCTGTAATGGAGTGAGTTGCAGTTGCCCCTCCCCCAGAATTCATATGCCGAACCCCAGCCCCCTGGTGTGATGACATTATGAGGTGGGGCATCCGGGAGGGGCCTTCCACTGTGTGAGGGGACAGTGGGAAGACAGCCATCTGTGAATCAGGAAGCAGGTTCTCACCAGACGTGGAAACTGCTGCCACCTTGATCTGGGACTTCGCAACCTCCAGGAGGAGAAGAAGTAAATTTCTGCTGTTCATAAGGCACCTTGCCCTAGCACTTTGTTATAACAGCCCAAGTGCCCTGAGACAGCTCCCCTTCACTCCAGTTTGAGAAGCTCCAAAGGCGGGTAGGGAAAGGGCATTGAGTGTAGAGCCAAACAAGGGGGGCTGGATCCAGGCTCTGCCACTGGCGAGGTGTGTGAGCTCTGTGGACCGGTTCTTTAATCTTGGGGACTCCTCGTCTGCAATATGAGGATGGTGATATGTACCTGGTGGGTTCGCGATAACAGCGAAATGAGCCAAGGAGTCTAGGCACCAACAGAACTCCTGGCATACGATGGATGCCCCAGAGCCCTCAGGCGTACCATAGTGCACAGGCCCCCAGGGCACCAGCGTGTGGATGTCTGCAGGGCAGAGCCTAGGGCAGCCGGGGCCCAGGTGGGCCGCCCCCAGTGACCACGCACATGGTCATTTTCTAAGTGTGCCGCAGTGAACGTGGGAAGCACGGAGGCACTCCATAATGGGGCCTTATTGTGGCCCTGCCCAGCTGACCTCCCGGGCTCATGGGGACTTGATCTTCTGCCCTACCAGAGTTAAGCGGCTACCCACCCCCAGGGAGGCTCCGCTCAGCAGAGTACCTAGAGGACTGGAGCCCACATGTGAGATGCAGCCGTGTTCGCTCCTCCCACTCAAAACTCCATTTAGAACTGTTTGGCCAGAGTTTTAGAAATGTACTGATAAGAGCACAGAGCAAAATGTGTGTTAGCTTTTGGGAGAGGGAGGGGTTTTAACTACCTAACTTTTTCAGGGAAAACATGTATTTATCTTTCTAAAAGTTAACATTTGTAAGAATTCAAGTGTACCCAAGGAGGCAGAGCAGGAAATAAGAGTTCTTCCCTCCTCTCTCACTTCCGATGGCTTCAGTGGGATGCCAGGCTCCTTTGTCACCAAACTGGCAGAGGGGTTGGCAGCAAAGCGGCCTGGGCAGCCCTCAGGACGAGCCACGAGCCCAGGACAATTAAGACTGGCTTTTCTAATGGGCAGTCAGTGAGGAGAGAGCTGAACTCTGACACAGGCAGGAGGAGCTTGGGTCCTCAGAAGGGAAAAAGCCCGCCTCTGAGGCCCAGCCTCCTCTCTAGACAACACCCAGTGGCCACGCTCCTTAAAGGCCCACCTGCCCCACACTCCCAGCGCCTCCTTACTGAAAAGCAAACAGCCACTTCTCACACAGGGAGGGTCCAATCCCACACCCTCTGTGGACTGCCACTGTTCTTTAAAATGCCTCTTTGTTGGGGGAAGGGAGCATTCCGGGCTGTGGGGAGGGATGGTCTCTCTTGGGTGCCAGCAGGGAGGGTGAGGCCAGCCCCTCAGGTTTGGAGGCCCCCCCTGGAGTATAAAGGGGAGCTGACTGTATCTGTATATACCCTCTGGCTCCGGGAGACCACTGTCTGGAAGGTAGGAGCCTGTCTCCAGTTCTTCCCTTAATGCTGGCCTCCATTGAGGTGGTCTCCAGGGCTCAGTGATTATCTACCTGCCCACGAAGGCCACTTAGGAGACAATGTTCCCTGGTTCTGCAAACACCCCTCCTGGAGATCTCAACCCCCATTTTGCCCTGCCTGGTTGCTTCCCGGGCCCCACCAGCCTTACTTGCAGAGGACAGCATCGGTGTCAGACAGGGCCTCGTACATACACATGTCGCCGTCCTCCTCGTCTCTGGGGACCACCATTGTGAGACCCAGAAACAGTGCCGCCGTGGCCAGCTTCATTGTCCAGCCCATGGATACCTGGAACACAAGGGACTTTTAGAGCTGCGGGGCCCTCTGCAGGGGGCGCCCTTCTCACCCTGTGGCCCCCACCCCAGGGGACTCACTTGAAGGAACAGGGACCTCTGGTAAGCAGAAGGAGAAGGGCAGGCAGCTGCCTGGGCTCCCGCAGCTAATCTGCCACCCGGACACAAATACCTTGGGAGGACCTGGGCCTACTCCAACCCGGGCTCAATTTGCAGTCCTGGCTGAGGCCCCTCCTCTGTCAGAGCAAGGCTTTGCTGTCCTCTAATCCCGGCTGCCAGGGCAGAGAGCAAGCTGCGAAGCAGAAGGGCTTATATAAGCCTCTCACCCCACCCAGATCCTCATCTTGTCCCCCACCACTCGCCCCGTGTGTGATCAGTGGGCCATGGGCCAGCCTGCTTCTTTGGCTTTAAGGCAAACTCTGGGAAGCTGATGACCCCAGGCTTTAAGCTGGGGGCGGGTTCCGGGGAGCCTGCAAGAGCAAGACCTTGGTTGTTTTTCCAGGAGCAGGGCTTGGGCTGGGCTGTGCGCCGGAGACAGCTCTGCTTCTCCTGCCCACAGTTCCCGCGCCACCTGCCTTGACAGCCTTGGGGCTGACGGACGGTCGGTGGTTGGGTGCAGTGACCCTGTGCAGGAAGGGCTGCCGCACTTAGGGCCGCCCTGGCCCCGAGGCCAGCTCCAAAGGGCCAGCTGAGGACAGAAGGGCTCCTCCGACTGCACCTTGCAGCAGTGCTGAACTCAGCAGTCTCCCAAAATAATAGTCTCTGGAGAAGAAACCGGCAGGGCTGCTGGGGAAGGGAGCAGCTTGCACGGTGCCAGTGAGGTGCCGGCTGGGCGGAAGGGGGGAGCAGCCTGTAGGAAGTTGTGTGTGGGACTCTGATTGGAACCAGAGAGGGCAGGGGAAGATCACAGGCAGTTCTCCCACGGCCTTTCCAGTTGATCTGTGCTCTGTCTTCTCTGAGATGGGGTGTGGGGGTGTGCTGGGGAATGTTCTAGCAGCTGGGAACTGAGGACTCCCGTGTTCTGCTCTGAGCCCCGCCAGGCTGCTTGGGAAGGGGGGTGGGGACTATGCCTCTCTAAGATGCACCATTTCTCCCTTTCATAAACAAGTATAATGACCCGTCGCTCCCGTGCCTTGCTAAGGAAGATGAGATCATAGCTATAAAGTTTACACAGCTTAAGCTTTAGAGAAACTATTTTTTTTTTTAATTTTTTTTTATTTAAAAAAAAAAAATTTTTTTTCAACGTTTATTTATTTTTGGGACAGAGAGAGACAGAGCATGAACGGGGGAGGGGCAGAGAGAGAGGGAGACACAGAATCGGAAACAGGCTCCAGGCTCTGAGCCATCAGCCCAGAGCCCGACGCGGGGCTCAAACTCAAGGACCGCGAGATCGTGACCTGGCTGAAGTCGGACGCTTAACCGACTGCGCCACCCAGGCGCCCCTAGAGAAACTATTTAAGCATAGCTGGCTTTCCAATTGAATTCCTGCATCCAGGATCCCAACTTCTAGCAAAAAGCCTTTCTTTGGGGCTATAAATTAAACACATTTCTCAATAATTAGAGTCCCTGATGTATGACTACAGCTCCCCCACAGAGGACTCATTCCCCAGATCTTCCCTACTGGAGGTGTAGCCTCCTCACAGGAGCCTCCTAGTAGCCTCCTCACAGGATGGCGGTGAGAATGGAATTGAACAAATTATGTTAAGCCCTTCAGTGAGGGGATGACCCTCACCTACGGAATGCTCGATCATGTATGCATTCCCAATCCATTTCGCTATCAGGTACTGAGCACCTCCCATGTGCCAGGCCCTGTGTCTGCTCTATGGTGTAGGGACAGCATGGCCCCTGTTCTCATGGAGCTCACAGGATAGCCAGAGCCACAAGGACAATGCTGCCAGAATGGTCTTCAAAGGCCAAGAGACTCTGATCTTCAAAGTGGAAGCCGCTAGAGAAGCCAAAACTTTCCTCAATACCAATAGCTCTTAGTACCAAAAAAAAACGCAAAAAATGCTGTCTGGAGGTGGGGAAGAGTCCCCAGGGTAGGGTTGCTCCTGCTGAGTCTGCTCAGGTCAGCAATGCTTCCTTACTCAGTATGTGGCAAGCTTTTATCATTGAATCCTTATGATATGATCCTTTGGAGTAGGTGCTATTCTTATCCCATTTTACAGAGGAGGAGACTGAGGTACAGAAAGGTTAACTAACTTGGACCTTGGTCACATGAGTCATAAGTGGAAGACCTGGGATTTGAACCCATGCTATCTGCCTCCAGACTACTTGCTCCTTAACCATTAACCACTCTCCTCTACTGCCCCCTCTTGGAGCTTGGCTGTCGCCCTTCTTTCCCTTCTGTTGCCCCCCTCTATTCCCTGTGTTCTTGGAACACAGCCCAGAATCTCCTATGCCTGCATGATCTGGCTCCTCCTGCTTCTCTAGCTGTGACTCTCTACTCTCCGCTGCTTGAGGTTTAACTCCCGCTCATCCCTCCAGCTCCTTCCTGCCCTAGGGCCTTCCTCTGCACTGCCCTCACTTCCCACCCCCTTTTGGTGGATAGTCAAAATGCCATTTCTTCAGAGAAATGCCCTGACGCCTAGCTTCCGTTAAATTCCTCTTATACAGAATCATAGCTCCTTATTCCTTTCCTTGTGCTTATATGCTTGCAATGAATTCTTTTGTAATTACTTCCTTAAAGATTTGCTTGTGGTTCCCCCGCCCCTCAATCTACAAGCTTCCTGGAGGCTGTACTGAGTTTGCATCCAGCATTCCCAGCACAGTGCCTGGCGAGTCTAGATGTCTAATAAATTACTGTTTGAATGCCTGACAAACCCACCACCTCTGTTTCTGATAGTCTTATTTTCACTTAATAGCTCCTAACTCAATAAACATCAGCAGGAAATAACCACTCAAGTTGGCGCCTGGCCCTAGATCCCGTTTGATTATTTATCTAACCTTCTCTGGCTTGTTTTTGCAAAGAGATCTGACAGAGTGCAGTGGTTCTCGGTATTTTCGAATCTGATCTTTCTCTTGGGGATTCACAGAACTTCACTTCAAATGTGGAGTCCAAGATCTAGGAACCACATTCAAGCCCAGGAAGGTGCTGTGTCTCTTTCCCATTGCCAGCCTGTTTTTCTCAACTGCTTTATTTCTGGAAACTCCCATCTCTAGATCCTGAGGTGGCCACCCTGGGAGTCCCCTATTCTTCCTTTAGTCACCAGGGCTGGTACTACATCCCAACACTATCAGGTAGGCAGAGGCTGTTGACTTCCTGAGATGCCTTGATCCCTCCAAACCCAGGAATCTGCTGGGCCAGTGCTCCTAGAAGTTTTGACCCCCACCCCCTTCTATCCTTCCAAGCCTCCTGTGCCTAACAGCCCCTCACCCCTATCACTGCCCAGATGTTACCTTCTTTCTTTATCCAGACAGCCACTCATGCTTTCCCTCCCTCCAAAACCTTTCCACATGTGCCCTCTGGAATCTCTGAACTACAGTAACTGAATTCCCCCTCGCTATTTTCCTTTCGTTTTCATTAAGAAATTGAGATTCACACACCATAAAATCCACCCTTTTAACATGTACAATTCAGTGGTTTTAGTATAGAAATCACTAAAGGTTGTGCAACCATCACAAAGTAGCACAACCATCATCACTACCTAATTCCAGAACATTTTCATCACCCCCAAAAGAAGCCCCAAAGCAGAACTTATTAGCAGTTAGTCCCCATTCCTTCCTCTCCCAGTCCCCCGAGTCACTAATCTACTCTTCAGTGGAATCATACTACAGTTGACCCTTGAACAGCATGGGAGTTAGGGATGCCAATCCCCTGTGCAGTTGAAAATCTGTGTATAACTTTTGGTTCCCCCCAAATTTGACTACCGAGAGCCTACTGTTGTCTGGAAGCCTTGCTGATAACATAAATAGTTGATTAACACATATCTTGTGTTACATGTATTCTTACAGTACAGTAAGCTGGAGAAAAGAAAACATTATTAAGAAAATCATAAGAAAGAGAAAATACATTTGTAGGCCTGTACTGTAAACAAATCACATATAGGTAGACCCATGCAGTTCAAACCGATGCCGTTCAAGGATCAACTGTGTATGTGTTCTCTTGTGACCAGCTTCTTTCACCCAGCATGTTTTCAAGGTTCATCCATGTTGTCAGTACTTCGTTATCTTTTATAGCTGGATTAATATTCCATTGTATGGATATGCCACGTTTTATTTACCCACTCATCATTTGATGGACATTGGGTTATTTGGGGCTATTATGAACGATGCTATTATAAACATTTGTATACATGTTTTTGTGTGTGAAAATATGCTTTCAATTTTCTTGAGTTACACCCAGGAGTAGAATTGTTGGCTCATATGACCATTCCATGTATAGCATTTTGAGGAACTACCAGTCTGTCTCCCAAAGCGGCCATTATATTTTATCTTTCTACTAGCAAGGAAGGTTCCAATTTCTTCACATCCTCACTAGCACTCCTTATTGTTTCTTTTTGATTATAGTGATCTGAGTGGGCATGAAATGGTATTACATGTGGTTTTGATTTGCATTTTCCTGATGACTAATGATGTAGAACATCTTTTCATGAGTTTTTGTCTATTTATGTATCTTCTTTAGAGAAATATCCATTCAAATCCTTTGCCACTTTTCAAATAGGTTATCTTTTTATTGTTGAGTTAGACAAGTTCTTTATATATTTTGGATATTAGACACTGTGATTTATAAAAAATATATATTTGATATTCATCTCATTTTTTTGCACAGAGCTTCTAAAACCCTTGGAATTTCCTAAGTGATAAGAGTGATAAAGATGTCTTGACATTCATAATAACCCCTTTTCAACCATACCTAATTATATGGTAATGAGGTAACTTTTGGAAAGCACCTAAAAAGATGGGGGCTGGTTGCCAGTGAAATCAACCATATGATTGGAGGTTTGGGACTTTTAATTCTCCTTCTCCACCTTCAGGGAGGGGAGGGGC